TCAGAATTGTGATTGACTTTCCTTTGTTTGGGCATGGCATGAGAAAATGTAAGTGCTGGCGGAGAATCAGTCTTTTCTTTACAATGTTCAGATTCAACCCCTTCCTTACCCTTAGAGATTGACTCATCATCTTTCTCACAAGGTTCAAGAGTGGGTTTTTCAATAACCTTACCACTGTGAAGAGTGATGACTGATTTGACTTGATCCAAGTGTTGCCTTCCAAAACTGCTTGCATTTGCATTGTATTGCCCTTTTGAATTTTGCTGTGGTTGAGATGGAAACTTACCTTTCTCTTGGAAATTGAGAGCAGATGTTAACTTTGCAAGAGTATCTTTAAAATCTGTCATGCTTTGAGCAAGTTGAGTGTTGATTGTCTCTTGCTTTTCAATGAATGCATACAATGTTCCCTCAAAATTTCTTCTAGGAGGTGGAGCATAAAGAGGTGCATATCCATGAGAATTTTGAAAATCATGTTGTGCTTGAAACGGTGGCTGTGAAGTTTATGCATTATTATTATCACTCTTCCAACTTAAATTTGGGTGGTTTCTCCAACCAGGGTTGTATGTTTGTGAGTATGGGTTATAATTGGGCCTTTGGAAACTGTTTAAAGCATGGGCTTGTTCATGGAGACATTTCTTAAAAGAAGGCAAAGTTAGACAGCCATTAGTTGCATGCTTATTTGTTTCACAGATTTGACACTTAATGTCTTGAACATATTTTAATTAACCACTCTTTTTAAATTCAAGTGCCTCGACTTTTCTAGCTAAAGATGCAAACTTGGCTTAGAGGTCATGATCTTCCCTAAGGTTATAAATACCTGCACTAGATGTATGAGGTTGGGTTTTACTTGGTGCCTCATAAGTGCCTGTAGTGTCCCAATTTTGCACATTTTCAGCTAGCAAGTCTAGGTACTCCATTGCTTCATTATGGTCTTTATCTTCAAAAGTTCCATTGCACATCAATTCCACCATTTGTCTATCTTTAGGTGTTAACCCTTCATAAAAATGTGAAACCAATCTCCATGTTTCAAAACCATGATGAGGGCAAGTATTAAGTAGGTCTCGATACCTATCCCAACATTGGTAAACTGTTTCACTTGGTTTTTGAGTGAAAGTGGTGATTTGTCTTTTGAAAGAGTTTGTTCTATGAGATGGAAAAAACTTTAAAAATTGTTGTTGCATTTCATCCCAAGCACGAATGGATCCTAACCTAAGATTTTATAGCCATGTTTTAGCTTTATCTTTTAATGAAAAAGGAAAAAGATTTAATCTAATGGTATTCATGTTATAATTTAAGTCATTATAAGTGTTACAAACTTCTTCAAATTCTCTCAAATGCAATTATGGATTTTCTAGATCTAAGCCATGAAAATAAGGTAAAAGTTGAATAATGTCTGGCTTAAAATTGAAGTGAGATGCATCAGGAGGAAAAACTATGCATGTGGGTGCACTTGTTCTTGTAGGATTCATGTGGTCTCTAAGTGTTCTAACACGGTTATTCTCATTATTCTCATTATGAAGTGACTGGTTATCTTCTTTGGCTATATTTTCTGAAAATGATGAGGATACCCTACATAGTCAACCACTTAATATACGTAACCAAACTCTCATGCACGTGTAGGAAGAGAAAAAAAAAGGAAGAAGAAAGCAAAAGAAAAAGAAACAAAACAAAAGAAATAAAGTTAGATACACGAAAAGTGAAAAGAAAAAATAAAAAAATATTATAATTTATACAAGAATTTACCTCCTCGACAATGATGCCAAAAACTTGACACGATCAAAAGATTGATGTCTTCTTCCAAGTGTTGGAGTGTCGAAGTAATAAATAATCGGCAAGACCAGGGTCGAACCACATGGAGGTTAATTGTATAAATTATAAATAACAATAATACAACAACAACAATAATAACAATAATAGTAATAGTAATAATAATATTAATAGTAATAATAATAATAATAATAATACTAATAATAATAGTAGTAGTAGTAGTAGTAGTAGTAGTAGTAGTAGTAATGTTAATAGTAATGGTAATAACAACAATAATAATAATAATAATAATAATAATAAAGAAGAAGAAGAAGAAGAAGTTGATGAGAATTTTGAGATGGAAGATCAATGTGAGAATTAAACAATGATAAAAACAAGTGTCAAGGTTAGAGGATCCACTAATGGTATTTCAAACAAGTATAGTATAAACTCTTATTACGCAACTGGAAACCACACACAAAGGAGGTTTCAATCGAATTATAAATTGTTAACATGATTGCATTAATTATCTTATTCGAATAATGCTAATACTTGTAAATATTGTTAGGTATTCATGATTATAATTTATATTAACAACAAATCAAGTTCCTTTCATAGCATAGGTGTAGGTTATACCATACGGTTGGGCTATGAAAGTGTCAAGCATTTGTTGTACCAAGTGTTATACAACACAAATCTAGATTATCTGTTTAACAAGCAAAGTAATAAGAGTGAACAAGATAATAAATACAAAACATGTTAGTATCAAACATTAAAGTCCATGTTGAGTTCACATTATACTTATTCTTACACCATTAGTGTAACCTTTTCAAAAAATGAAAGAGAGAATCATAAATAAACAAGATAAGAACATAAATAAGATACAAGTTAACTAAGTAAAGGAAAGGAAATGAAAAGCATAAACAAGATATTAATAAAAGCAAAACTTAAGCATTACAAAAATATAAAGAGAGAGAGCAAGAGCAAGTTCTTGATCTGAACCACCAAGCCCCAAAATGCATGGCAAAAGCCTCCTTTTATAGTCCAAAATTTAGAATTATTGATTTAATGACTAATTATTGAGTGGGTGGCTAACTCTTGACTTTGTGAAAATCCTTATCTTCTTGTCTCAACAAAACGTCATTACTAACATTAGAATTGAAACCAACTATACTCATGAAATTTCTAGGAAATTGTCTTATCTTTCCAGGAAAAAAATTAAGATCATTTGGACTTCTAGAACTCGAGATATGGGTTGATCACTGAACAGTGTCTAGGTTGTAGGACAAATTCAAACTTCTCCGTTGTTGCTATAATTTGGACTTGAAAACAGCCTTTTTAAATCTTAGACTCCCATGAAAGTTATAAGCCTATGTCTTACCTTTCCATCCATATAAAGCAGACCTTCATCCGAGATCTACGGCTCCAGATATGACCTAATTACCGAACAGTGTTCCAGTTTGGACTACACCAACATCTCTTTTCTAAGTTTGGCCCTCTCTTTGTCCTTTCAATTTAAGTATTCAAACTCATCAATCAATCCTTTCATTTATGTGATAGGCCTACATTTAAGATGAACATTTACCATAAATTAAAGGTATCTTATATTATTAGATATGTTATTATAAAACATGTTTTAGTTAAGGACTTATTGATACTTCAAGTGCCAAATAATGATATAAAACCTTGATAAAAATGCACTTTTAAGTACAGGGTTGAGAGGAAATGGAGGAGGGTTTCGGGGGCTTCCCAAGCCTGAAAAATTCTAGGGATTGTTTCCAAAATCAATCGACCCTCATGAAGGCTAAACATGGAAAGTTACATGGAAAATAATTTTTAAATTATTTTTTAGAGGTGGAGTGACAGCTAGGATCTAGTAGTGTCTACCCCAGCCAGAGCTGAAAAAACACCTTCTGCTCTTCAAGGGGCCTCTCGATTCGGCAACTAGGCCAGCACTCTTCTATGCTTGGGCAGCGCCCGTGCGGCGCCACAGAAAGATCGCGCTGGGGTGCTAGGGTCTAAGGGCTTGGGGCTCTAGGGCTTGAAGGCGTGGGGGCCTTGGGCTCTCGGCCGACTAGGTGAGCACACGCGACCATGAAGCCCACGTAGCCATGCCGCGCTGCGCGACGCCGGGACAACCCCTGCAGGCTTGCTCTCTTGCCCACGAGGGGGCTGCCTTGGGGCCATGGCCCCCTGCGCAGGAGAGGCAAGGAACTGGTGGGGACAGCTTGACGTCGCTGGTCACGGCATGCGAGCTGCTGGGTTTCCCGCATTCCACCAAGAAAAGGTCATACTTTCTGCATGAAATCAATCTAGTAAAATCAGCCATATGTTTCTGAGGTTGCCAGCTGAATTTGGGGTCATTCCGAGCCCTTTCCTATTTTTACGGATTTCCTTGATTTTTAATGGTAGGAAAATTAAAAAAATACTTCCTGACCACAAAAAATTCTGGGATTTTTTCTGGAGGTGGATTGGATTTTTTCCAACCTCTCTTCAAAATTTCAGCTCAAAATACTAAGAAATGAATTTTTTAGAGGGGGGGTGACAGTTGGGACCTAGTATTGTCTACCCTGCCAGAGCTGTAATAACAGTTGTTGCTCTTTAGGGGGGTGCCCCCTGATTGGCCATGGGGCACGCTGGCCTGGCGTCTATAGGACTGCCGGGGGGGATTTTCGAGCTGTTACTACACTCAGACTAAAGTGGGGGCCTCATGGCCCAAAGTATCGCCGGCATTGATGACCCGTTTTCCGATCGGTGATGACCCAATTCCACCCACTGTGCTCAGGACCCGCTCCAAGCTGTTGGGCGCATTAGGGCTGCTTATCCGCGGTGTGGGAATGGCATTCATTTGTTGTGCTCGTGCCAAGAAGCTGGCAGCTGTTGCACGCCTGTCTACTTCGCTCGACATCACGGCAGTGGCGACTGCTACCCGTGCTCGCAAGTTGGAGGCCTGGCCGATGTGTCTGGTGCGGACCGCTAAGCTCGAGGATTGCGAGGAGAGCTCTACACTGGTGTGGGCATGGCATTAAATTGTTGTACGCACGCCTATGTGTTGGCTCTCCTCGCCATCCCTGACCTTGTGGCGTGATGTGCCAGCTACCAAGGCCTGGCCTCTGTCTTCCAAGCTGAGGTAGACGGCCCCCCGCATGATTGTCCCTGTCGCATCCCCCCGCGACTTGTTGCTTGTCTCTTCGACATCCTTCCAGTGGCTTGTTTCTTGTCCCTTTGAGATCACTTCGTGTCCAACGGTGCTAGCACGATCTCTCTAGGGTGTTTCCACTTGCTCTCGTGGTCATGCATGTGTAAGTATGAACTAATTCAGACTGTGAAACTGCGAATGACACATTAAATCAGTTATAGTTTGTTTGATGGTATTTGCTACTCGGATAACCGTAGTAATTCTAGAGCTAGTACGTGCACAAACCCCGACTTCTAGAAAGGACGCATTTATTAGATAACTCGATGAATCGCATGGCCATCGTGCTGGCGACGTATCATTCAAATTTCTGCCCTATGAACTTTTCATGGTAGGATAGAGGCCTACCATGGTGGTGACGGGTGACGGAGAATTAGGGTTCGATTCTGGAGAGGGAGGCTGAGAAACGGCTACCACATCTATGGAAAGCAGCAGGCGCAAAAATTACCCAATCCTGACACGGGGAGGTAGTGACAATAAATAACAATACCGGGCTCTTCGAGTCTTGTAATTGGAATGAGTACAATCTAAATCTCTTAATGAGGATCCATTAGAGGGCAAGTCTGGTGCCAGCAGTTGTGGTAATTCTAGCTCCAATAACGTATATTTAAGTTATTGTAGTTAAAAAGCTCGTAGTTGGACTTTGGGTTGGGGCGGCCGGTCCGCCTCAGGTGTGCACCGGTCGCCTCGTCCCTTCTACCGGCGATGCGCTCCTAGCCTTAAATGGCTGAGTCGTGCCTCCGATGCTGTTACTTTGAAGAAATTAGAGTGCTCAAAGCAAGCCTACGCTCTAGATACATTAGCATGGGATAACATTATAGGATTTCGATCCTATTGTGTTGGCCTTCGAGATCAGAGTAATGATTAACAGGGATAGTTGGAGGCATTCGTATTTCATAGTCAGAGGTGAAATTCTTGGATTTATGGAAGACGAACTACTGCGAAAGCATTTGCCAACAATGTTTTCATTAATCAAGAATGAAAGTTGGGGGCTCGAAGATGATCAGATACCATCCTAGTCTTAACCATAAACGATGCCGACTAGGGATTGGCGGATGTTGCTTCTAGGACTCCACCAACACCTTATGAGAAATCAAAGTTTTTAGGTTCTGGGGGGAGTATGGTCGCAAGGCTGAAACTTAAAGGAATTGACGGAAGGGCACCACTAGGAGTGGAGCCTGCTGCTTAATTTGACTCAACACGGGGAAACTTACAAGGTCCAAACATAGTAAGGATTGACAGACTAAGAGCTTTTTTTTTTTGATCAATTGTAAGAATATATTATAGATCAAAAGTTACAAAGCTGGAAACAACAAAATAGGAAATAAATACAAGAGGAACAGATAAGGATACAAGCTCCCTATGAGACAAATAAGAAGACAAAAGCATTACAATCCATTATCAAAATAAATAAATAAACTAAAGCTAGCAAAGGGTAAGGACTGCCTAACTACTAGCCAGCCAAGCCAGGACAAAGGAATCAACCGAAGGTCAATAGCACATCCTAGCAAAACAAAGAAGCCAATAGAGCAACCCTACCACAAAGATCAATCATTCTATTACAAAGGGAGAAGATTGACTTCCATAAAGAAGAGTCAGTTTTCTTTGCATCCAAGGACCAGATGGAGGCATGTGAAATGTAGTAATGGTCTACCCATCGAATCCAGAGGGAATCAGACTTCAAGTGAATATTCCAGAGATGCTTGGCAAAAAAACTATCATTTCTAGCCTTGATGTCAAGAACCGCCGGACCCCCTTCATCCTTTGGCAAACACACCTGCTTCCAAGCAACAAAAGTAGATTTACTTCTAAGCACATCCCCGGTCCATAGGAAATTTCTGCACAGACTGGTAATCTTGTTGATAACTACTACTGGAATAGGGAAGATGCTAATCCAAAACTGCACCATGCCATGCAGGACTAATTTTATTAACTCCAGCCGACCAGCATACGAGAGATGCTTTCCCATCCAACTCTAAATAGCCAATTCTAACTTGTGAATGAGGGGAGAGAATTGACTAGCGAGAAGCTTGTGAGGGCTGAGGGGGACACCGAGGTACTTAAATGGAAAAGGTCCCTTCGATGAACTGGAAGAGCTTGAGAATGGCTTGCTTCATATCCCCCGATACACCAACAAAGAAAATAGAGGACTAGGTTGCATTAATTACAAGGCCAGATGACTCCCCAAAGACTCGAAGATGTTGGAGGATAGTGCTAACAGAGACCATGTCACAACGGCAAGGCAAAAGAATATCATTAGCCAAACCAAGGTGATTGATTCCCAAAGATTGGCATTTGGGATGGAAGTGAAAACCAAAGTGCTGAGTATTACTTTTCAGTAATCTAGAGAAGTATTCCATGCAAATAATGAAGAGATAAGGAGATAATGGATCTCCTTGCCGTACACCACACTTGCCTTGGAAGAAACCGAAGAGATTACCATTGATGCAGACAGAAAATGAGGCAGTCTCAACGCATTTCATAACAAGATGAACAAACCTAGTAGGGAACCCCAAGAGATGCATGAGATCACGAAGAAAAGACCATTGGACCGAATCAAATGCTTTCTTGAAGTCAATCTTGATGGTGTAGCGAGGAGATACACGTTTTCTCCCATAACTCCTCAGAAGCTCTTGCATGAGGTTAATATTATCAGCCATGAGTCTCCCACCAAGAAAAGCATTCTGAGAAGGGCTGATGATATCATTGAGCACGTGAGCTAGCCTCCCTGCTAGTATCTTGGAAATAACTTTGTAGGTGGCATTGCAACAAGAAATAGGTTTGTAATCTGCAGTAGAGTTGGCATTAGCTGATTTTGGAACAAGGGCTATGATAGAATGGTTAAGCTGCTTGAGAATCTCCCTTGAGGCAAAGAAGTCTTTAACAGCTGAACAAAAGTCTTCACCCACGATGTTCCAAGCTTGTTTAAAGAAGGCAGAGGTATATCCATCCGGGCCTGGAGCTTTGTTATCATCCATGCTGAAGAGGACTTGTTTGATGTCATCGGCAGAAACTGGAGCAAGAAGAAAGTCATGGGAATAAACATTAATGCAGCGCCATTTTGAACTACTTCAGCTCGTGGTGGAATAGTGAGCTTGGAAGTCCCCAGGAGCTCTTTATAGTAAGAGACAAACTCTCGACCCACCTCTTTAGCTGAAGAAGTAAGCATTCCATTACTTCGAACAATAGCAGGAATATGGTGTCTCCTGTGGCGCTGGTTCATCAAGGAGTGAAAGAATTTGGTTCCTTTATCGCAGTCTTTAAAGAAAGCACACTTCAGCTTTTGGCCAAAGAACATTTTTTCTACTGATTCAAGATTAACTAGGCTCAGCCTCTGTTGCTTTTCAAGTGCAAGGAGATGACCATTATCCATGTCATAAGGCCAGCAACCTCATGTTGTTTGAGAGGGCTATTGAGCCCTCTCACATTCCAATAGTAAACAATCATGGGTGAGGAAGGGTGGGAGGAACCCCACCGCTGCCAAAAAATCTATTAGAATTCCTTTGAATTGAACTCCTGGTGAGCATACCTGAACCTGGATAAGGGGGAGCCTTGTCGCTAGCAATATCAATTGAGATAGCAGGAGCTTTCCCTTTGGAAGAAACATTCTGTTGAGGAGGTAGCTTACTTTCAATAGATGAAAATTTTGATGACTACTGCTTGTTACCAGAGCTATATCTCCTACTACGAACAGTTTGCCACTCTTCTGAAACTGTCGTTGTGGCCTAAGGATAAAGCTGCTCATCCTGAGCTACATAAGTTTCTAAGGAGACAATGAGAGCATCAAGCTTTGGGGCATTCACTTAAGGAGCATCGATAGAGGAGACTCCAGTTGGTTGAGCAGCAGCAGGCGAGGCATCAGCTAGGGGATCAATTACAAGGCTGAGACGAGAGAAAACGCCGCCTTTAACATTTTCCTTGGTAGCAACACTAGTTGAACCTGCCTTCTCAACTGTTTTGGCCTCTTCCTTACCTTTAGAACAAGCTCCAGTGGAATGGCTGAGCACTTTGCAATGTTTGCAAAATTTAGGCAGCATCTCATAGATAACTCTCTAAATGAAGGGTTTTCCATTGGGCAAGGTAACATTTATAGAGGATCTAAGATCACCAAGTAGATCTACTCCCACAAGCACTCGGGCATAGGATAGTCTCTCCTTGGTGTAAGTTAACTTGTCACACTAAATTGGTTTACCAAGAGCACTTGCAAGCTTTGATAAGCACCTTGGCGTCCAGCACTTCAATGGTAGGTTTGGGAACTTAATTCAAACAGGGACGTGAGTCATTTCAGAGCATGAAAAATCAAAATATTCAAACATGGGGCGTAAGATAAGGGGCCTGTCATATACTAAATAAGGCCCTCCACACAATACAGAAAGCTTGTCCTTTTCATTTTGGAATCTTTAAACTAACAAGCCTGATTCATGTATGTTAAGGGTGGCTTCACCTTTCTAGACGTTCCTAATGATATTTTGTAACGCATTATAACCAGGAAATTTACCCGAAACATAACCAATGGCTCACAGTTTCTAGTCATCACTAGAATGATCTAAGTCTTCAGTTAAGAGGGGGCAAGATTGAATATCATTTAAGGCTGAAAAATGCATGAGCTTTGGACAAGATGTGGTGTTTTGGTTGGAAGAGAACAAATCTCTCCATTTACCACTAACAGGGGGAGAAGAGGGAGGGTTACCTGCTTTAAAAGTGTTGGACGGGTTAAAGGTGGCACCTTTTGGACTAGTTGGTGGTTCTGGAGTGACCGAATCTAGTGAGGATGGTGGAGACCCTTCATCATCTTCCTTAGAGAAAGTGAAGTGTATCTGCTCTTCTTCCAGTTCTTCATCATCAGAACAATCTTCAACAATAAACCCGTCAAGAGGTGGAGAGTAGTTAGCCACCGGAGACCCATTTGCCTCCCTAGCCGTGCTAATACCTGCGCCGCTAGATGAGAAGATAGCAGGGGGAGAAAGTAGATCTGTGACTGGCATATGGGAAATAGCACCAAAGAGAGTTCCAAGAGCCGACTTTAGCCCTAAGACCAGAGAACCCCCTTGGTTTGTGTGAGGAGGAACAAGAGCATGCAATGAAACCTGTGTACTCTTGGTAACTGCTGCAGGTTTCCGTTTGTTTTTTTCCATTTTGTGAAACAAGCGGGAAGGGGAGGAAACAGGCTGAAAAAAACAGGTTACTGGAAACAACTTTGGGTGTAGTGGACGACCATGAAAACTAGAGGAAAAAACTCCAGGTGGAAAGAGAGCTTCTCTCTCTAATTTCTCTCACTAGACCGCTTAATCACTAAGAGCTCTTTCGAGCTCTTTTTTTTTTTTTTATCAAATGTAAGAATTGTATAGATCAAAAATAGCAAGGCAAGCTTGTGGAACAAGCTGGAAACCAGCAGTACATATAGATATACATAGCTAGGCAAAGGGAACAGATTCCCTTGAACAAACCATAACAAGCCAAGCTTGCGGAATAGAAAGCAGAGGGAACAGACTCCCTTGTACAACCTAAAATCAAAGAGAACAAGCTCCCAATAGGGAATATGCTCCTGAACAAAAAGTAACAATCTGCAAGCAGTCATCAAAAGCCTAAAAATTAAATCCCAGCAGCTAATAATGGAGACAACAGCAGTCACCAATCTGAGAGCTCTTTCTTCTTCTTTTTTTTTTCTTTTTTTATCAAATGTAAGAAATATATAGATCAAAAAGTCAGACTAGCTGGAAAAACAACAAGCCAAAATACATCTATATAGGACAAGCAAGCAGGAACAGGCTCCTAGCAAGCACAAAATAAAACAACCGAAGGAAACAAACCTTCAATTACAACCAAAGAGAAACCAACAGTACATAAAAAACATAAAATCAATACATAAAGAGCCAACAACCATAAACTAGAGACCATTAACTATGCCAATCAGCAGAGAGAATCACGTGGAGCCAATATGCATGAACCATGCATGAACATAGTGGCATTGCACAAGGAAAAACCATAACAAGAACACAAAGGGGAAAGCCCTTACAACAAGAAATACACTTCCCCTTGCAACAACAAGATGACTCCCTACACAGACTACATTGAGAGACCTACATAGAAGGCAACAACACCCAGCAATGGGCAACCCAGCAGAAACCGAGAGCCACTGTTCCAGACGATGGCCACCTGCCAAAACAGAACCAAGAATGAACCCACAGACTACCCGACTCGGTATAATTCTTATGCCTTCATGATGGGAGCTTTAGACCCCTAAAATACAGTGTAAACACCCAAAAGAAATATATATATATATATATATATATATATATATATATATATATATATGACTCCACCATCGCTACCAATTTTTAAATTGTCTTAAGGAGTTGGGAGGGAGGGGTAGAACCGGTTTTGGATAGACCAAAACAAAGATAAGAACACATCTAAAGCAACCCCAAACACCCCACCTTATTTAATGGGGAGTATAAATACAAGCAGGAGAGCAAAAAGAATAAAGTGTCAAACCTTCCTCTTCCTCTTAAGACCCAGAACCGGAAATGAAGAAAAAGACCCTAAGAAAATTGAGCTAAGACCTAAGTTAGTTGTGAAGGAAACTGAAATTAACTAAGAGGACAAAGAAACAGAAATGAAATGAGGCCAATTCCAAGAACATCTAACAAAGAAAAATGAATAAAATGGAAATAACAAATCATGGTAGAGGGTTGGCCTTAACTATGGGATTGGCCAACATGCATGTATGTGTTCTGCTGGGATTTGTTGAAAGATTATGTGTTGTAATTGATAGTTTCAATGTGTGTGTTCTGCTGGAACTTAGTGACAATTTATATGCTAGGGTTGTTACAACATGTGTGGTGTGTGTTCATGCCAAAATGTGTGTTGTGCAGCGAATTTGTGATTCGCTGCCGAATCGCATGTTCTGCAAAGAATTTGTGATTTGCTGCTGAAGTTGAGTTGTCTGCAACAAAATTGTTATTCGCTGCCGAAACTGAGTTGTCTGGAGCGAATGTGCGATTCGTTGACGAAACTGAGTTGTCTGCAGCGAATTAACATTCGCTGACGAATTGGGTGTTTTGGAGCGAATTTGTGATTCGCTGCCGAAACTGAGTTGCCTGCAGCGAATTAGTATTCGTTGTCGAATTGTGTGTTTT